GCTACATGTATTTGTTATTGGCTATGGTAGGTTATTAGTTATGTTCACATACTTATTTGATTATTAAAATGTAAACCGATCTTTTTCATATGGGTGTTTAGAGTTGTACCCCCTAGATCAGGGGCCTCATTTATAAAGGGATATAAAAGACTGCGTACCGGCACAGGACTTTCGTACGGCACGTCCTACGCCGGTTTCCCTTTATAAATCACAATCGACTCGAAATGCGGCGCAGCTTTTGCGGGCTTCACGTAACGCCCATATTTGCCTATAAATAGTCAAAGAAACGCCCATTCATTCTTTCATTCATTCTGACTGACTGCAGGAAGGAGATCGAAGGAAATGAGACAGAACAGCTAAAAAAGACGTCTCACACCGTGTCAGATTCTGGTTATTTTGGGGAGGTGGAGATAAATCATATTGTTTGGTGGATGCAGTTTGAACCAGAGTAGCAGCATGGAGTATCGGAGCATCGTCACCAACATAAATAAATAAGTGGTCCGAAAAAGGTTCATGACAAAAACAATACACACAGCCTTCCTCAGGCAGTGTGTTTGCACCGGGGACAGGAGACCCCCCCCTGATGAGAGACTGTAAGAAGTGATCGAGGAATCCCCCCGGAGTGGAGTCATGACGACTGGATCTGAATTATGTTTTTGTATTGGCTGGTTTGTGTCCCAGCTGTCGATCAGCAACTATATATCCATAATCCACCAGTTAAAGGAAATACAACTAATGTGTTGTGTTATATCAGCTGTTCAATTGACCACATGGTGTTCTTAGCTTCCATACCTCCTGTGTTTTACGAGCGACTTATCAAGTCTTGGCAAACGGCATAAAACACGATTAAACGTGATAGTCTATAAAACCATGCTCGTATCTACAACCTATAGAAATGCAACACGGCGTCAGTTTAGAAGTAACTCTGTCCTCCTGCTTACCGCATCATTTATGAGAAAACATTTCATAACATTAACACAACATATTCGAGGTGGTTTTAAATAACATATCCGTATTTATTTATGTCTCCAGGTGATGTGTTTGTGTGCGCTGAGGAGTCTCAAACAGGCGTTTGTTAAATCATTTTAAGATTGGCTTTAATCAATGTTTGAAAATGAATTAAAAAAAAGTAATATATTACATATTACTTTAAAAAAAAGTAATATATTACACTACTTCGTTACTCTCTACATAAAGTAACTCGTTACTTTACTCGTTACTTTACTCGCAGGGCCGGCCCGCCCCTACCTACAGGCAGATCACGCAGACTGCGGCGCACCTACAGTGTAAGCGCGCCACAGTTTCGTATGGAGTCAGATTTGGATCAATATTCTAGCGCGTAAAACAAGCTACTCACGAGCGGAAAATGTGCTTTTACACGCGCATAAAATGACCCTCGCGAGCAGATTAAACCCCCGCGAGCGGCTCTGCGCAAACCCGGAGTTGCCAGGTTTGATACATGCCTGAACTACCAAGAGCCGAGGAGTGACGGCAGCAAAATCAGTTGGACGAGATTGAATGGTAAAGTTGTCCATAAAAAACTATTATATTCGTAAAGTGTACAGCTAATATATATATATATAATATTAGCTGTACACTTTTATGGACAACTTTACCATTCAATCTCGTCCAACTGATTTTGCTGCCGTCACTCCTCGGCTCTTGGTAGTTCAGGCATTTATCAAACCTGGCAACTCCGGGTTTCCTGGCAGCTGTCAATCAAAGTCCAGTGGCTCCGCCCCAAAGTGCCAGAAACTTTTCAAGCACGCGTAGACAGACTCTGCGAGGCTGATACTCCCGCGAGCGAGCAAGAGGGCTGTCTCTCTCGCGAGCGAACGTAGAGCCGCTCGCGGGGGTTTAATCTGCGCGCAAGGGTCATTTTATGCGCGTGTAAAAGCACATATTCCGCTCGTGAGTAGCTTGTTTTACGCGCTAGAATATTGACCCAAATCTGACTCCATATTTTGCCTCTGCGAGACTCCACTTGCACCCCCAATTACTATTGCATTAAGGAAGACATAACACAAGTCTTTCTTTTGATATGCTCTAAAATAGGCTACCAGCCACACAACAAGCCAACAGTCTGTGAAACGTCAAGACATTAATTAATGAAACCAGTTCAAGACGCATTATTCTTATCATTCTTTATGAGCGCAGTAACGGTAAGGTATCTAATTACTTATTTATTTAGAATTCCATAACTTAGTAACAGAGATGGTCAAACTAAAGTGGTAGAGACATGGCAGAATTCCTACAATGAAGCGGGACATTGAACTGTTCACCCGTGAGAGGGCGATCAACAAAAGAGAGCGAGCGGCCCGTTGAGGGAGTTTACAGATGAAAAGACTCAGCCATGTTTATGCAGCACTGCACGTGGAGATGTGGTCTCGCAAATCGCGCAGATTACATAGGCCTACATGCAGTGGTGTAGTGGGCGTTGGACGCGGGGGTACGCCGTACCCCCACTTATTTGGAGCATGATCTTTTTTTTAATAGTCTAATAAATAAAATCATTGCCAGTCTTATCAGTTGCAAGTGTGTATTTGTTGTAATAATGACAAAAACATAATACATTTCACAGTAATGGCCTATAATAAAAAATAAAAACGATTTCCTTCAAAAATGATGATTCGTCATCACGCTCGTGACCCCGCGGTCGCTGACACACCCACGGCCAGCTCACCGCCCGCCGATTTTGCGGCAGCTCTTTCCCTCAAGAACGCTAACGAAAAAGCTCTATAATGGAAAGAAAACGTTTTTTACTTGACTTCTTTTCTAAAAAGAATATAATTCACAAGAAGAAAGAGGCTAGCAGCACCGAAGCTACAAGTGAAGCTGCTACTACTACATCATCAGAAGAGCCGCCTAAAGACGTGGATAATGCTAGCTAACGTGCACGTTAGCTGCGTTAGCAACGTTCCCCTAGCTAGCTCAAGCTCACCTTTCCCAGAGGTATGGACGGAGGAGATGTGGCGGAGGAAACAAGAGGCTACCCGTGGATAGACTGCAAAGCTGGGCTGCTGGTCATCCATTTCGGATTTATCAGTCTTCAAAACGCAATGTGTGTGTGTGTGTGTGTGTGTGTGTGCGTGCGTGCGTGCGTGTGTGTGTGTGTGCGCTTATTTGCAATATAGGCTAGGCCTAATCAGAATAATTTCAAGTCCAGATTCAATGTTTGCATTAGTAGGCTATATTTTTCGTTGCGTTTATTTAATAAGTTAATTTCAGGACAACTTTGTTTGTTTGTTTGTTATGAGTTTTAAATAGATTTTGAAAGTGGAGATAGAGAGAAGCAGCGCTGTCTGCTTAGTTGTAGTTTATGCAATTTAGGCCTATAAATTGTTGTAACTTATGTGCCAGTGTGTCCATGGTTTTGAGTCTGTGTGTGTGTTGAGCGCAGCGCCGTCTGCTTTTTGCAGTACAGTAACTAAAGTAGGACTAAGCATACCGGTAGTTTCTGTGGACCTGTCTGCCCGTTTTGTGAGTGCACTGCGCGCGTGCGCACTTGTGTGGCATTGTTTGGGATGACCTAATTAAAATATCGTCCCCCCAGTAAAAAAATCCCCACTACACCACTGCCTACATGTATATAAACCTGCGGCGGAAACCCCTCTTGTCTGTCAGTGAGTGTGATTATTTTATAAAAGTAACGAAGTAACGCGTGTCGGGGCAATGTTAGTAACTGTAGTGTGATTACTGAATTATAAAAGTAACGCGTTACACTACTCCGTTACCGCCACAAGTATTATTATTACAGTAACGTGTTACTTTGTAACGCGTTACACTACTCCGTTACCGCCACAAGTATTATTATTACAGTAACGTGTTACTTTGTAACGCGTTACACCCAACTCTGTTCATATCTGATAAATGAGAGGTAACATTTTATTGATGGTATTATTTCCACATATTTCTCTCCTTTCTTCCTTCTGCCAACGGTGTCGCAGTTTCTCGTCTCTCCCGTGTTTGTGCTTAGTGCGTACGCATGGGTCAGAGTTTGCGTGGAGGACCGCACGTTTTCCCCTCAAGTTAGTATTTTATAAATGGCAAACATTGCGTATAAACTGGCGTACGCCATTTTATAAATGGTTATAAACAGTTTACAGGAGAAACTCTTACTTTGTGTCTGAGGGTCCAGGTTCATCACTGAAGTTTGGAGGGTTCCACATAGACCCGTCACTCTTCAGAGACAGATAGCTGGGGACTGGAGATTTGTCCTCTTCCTCATCTTTTAAATCACTCATCTTCTCCACACACACACACACACACACACACACACACACACACACACGCACTCACACACACACACACACACACACACACACACACACCTTAATAATGAACTTGGTTGAAATACATGAAATCAGTCAGACTGCAGGCCGCTCTCCATTCTGACTGCGTCACATGTTATGTTACTCTGATGAATGAGGACACAGGAAATAATACAAGTTTACAACACTTGCAGAAGTCTCAATGGACTCTAGGACGCTGAACCAAGAAGTTCTTTTCTGACATCCAGTAAATAATGAATGTGTTAGGAAGCAGATCCTGGCGTTCACACTCACCCTGTTGTTCTCCTGCTCCGAGCTGTAAAATGGCGCCTGGCAGTCTGACAAGTCTGACTTCATACTTTCACTTTCACCTTCCCTCCCCTGACTGCAGCTCCTCCTCTGTTTCATATCCAGCCTCCTCAGCTGAACCAGTTCACATGTTCTTATATCTTATCTTACTTTGTTCAGTGAGATCAAATAAAAGACATGCAGCTAAAAACAAGCTCAACAAAGTTATCAGAAGACGACACAACATCCACACATCAGCGCCCATAGGATATCATTCAATCTGCTTCATATCAAAAACTATGAACAGCGACTTAAATAAAAACACAAAGCTACATTTAACTAATTTACAAGATGTGCCAAAATCAGGAATGAACTAGAGGGCTATGAGGCAGGTAGGCATTCTGCAGAGGTGGGACCAAGTCATTGTTTTGCAAGTCACAAGTAAGTCTCAAGTCTTTGCGCTCAAGTCTGAGTCAAGTCTCAAGTCAGGATGGGCAAGTTCAAGTCAAGTCCTAAACTTTGACAAACGAGTCTTAAACAAGTCCTTATGAGCTTTTCACCAAATGTAATGACACCAACAGAATAATACTTAATAATCAAAGTGCTCTTTATTAGTCACATTAATAATGTAATAATCCATCTTCTCTCTGCTGGTGAAGTCACGTGTGTTTTTCTATTTGAAGAGGGATCAGTAAGGTAAGGCTACCGTGACGGTTTATTGGATGAGTTGGATGTAGAAAAGTCAGAATCAAAATAGATGTTTTTATTTAAGTTTCAAGCCTTTTCAAGGATTTCCAGCACCCGTACGAACCCTGCTGTCTATAGGAGTGTCTGGCAATAGAGAGGTGCAAGAATGAGTCCTAAAACCCCGGACAAGACTTTCACCACTTCCTGTCTGGAAGTCAATGGTTCTCTGAATGTGTTTTGGTTGTAAGCCTCATATGGTTCTATGGTTAACACAAGCTGAACAGATTTGAATTCTACGTCTGTGAAAACCCCACTAAAGGAAATAAGAGTCAAATCCGGCACATATTTCTTCTCTTGTTGAGGTACATGTATTCTATGCTCGGTCCTTGTTGGATAAAACTAATATCTTTCAACATTTCGTCCCACCAGCTCAGCCCTATTTCTTTTCCTTCCTCTTCTGTCTCACAGCTTCTGAATCCTGAAGAAACCCTCGTGGTTCAATTCTCCTTCGTGAGAGAAACAACGGTCGCTTTAAGTACAAGACGAACTCCTCACTGACGTCCCGGAGGCTAGTGAGCGAAATGTTCACTTGATCTATTGGCAGATCTTTTGACTCATTACAGGCGAAAACACCTCGTTTTCATTATTCTTTAACTTGATGTTGGAGCAGTGTGCCAACGACACATCATAGGAAGTTATACTTTAAGGCTAAACCATCAATTCACTTTCAAGTGTTCAGTGCTCATTTAAAAGGAAGTACTTTCAGGGACGATTAAGACGTTAACTTGGTTGTTTGGGAACAAAACCACTGTTCCTATGGTAACACACATATGAAGGATTGTTTTTGGGTGTCTAATGTCTATACCCCCAGACACCATTACCGTTATAACATCAATGCAACTTGGAAGCAGGAAGCCCGCACCTGAACATCAGCAGGAGAGGACTCTTTAAAGTAGAGACACTACATACTGATATACACCTGAACATCAGCAGGAGAGGACTCTTTAAAGTAGAGACACTACATACTGATATACACCTGAACATCAGCAGGAGAGGACTCTTTAAAGTAGAGACACTACATACTGATATACACCTGAACATCATCAGGAGAGGACTCTTTAAAGTAGAGACACTACATACTGATATACACCTGAACATCAGCAGGAGAGGACTCTTTAAAGTAGAGACACTACATACTGATATACACCTGAACATCAGCAGGAGAGGACTCTTTAAAGTAGAGACACTACATACTGATATACACCTGAACATCAGCAGGAGAGGACTCTTTAAAGTAGAGACACTACATACTGATATACACCTGAACATCAGCAGGAGAGGACTCTTTAAAGTAGAGACACTACATACTGATATACACCTGAACATCAGCAGGAGAGGACTCTTTAAAGTAGAGACACTACATACTGATATACACCTGAACATCAGCAGGAGAGGACTCTTTAAAGTAGAGACACTACATACTGATATACACCCTGAACATCAGCAGGAGAGGACTCTTTAAAGTAGAGACACTACATACTGATATACACCTGAACATCAGCAGGAGAGGACTCTTTAAAGTAGAGACACTACATACTGATATACACCTGAACATCAGCAGGAGAGGACTCTTTAAAGTAGAGACACTACATACTGATATACACCTGAACATCAGCAGGAGAGGACTCTTTAAAGTAGAGACACTACATACTGATATACACCTGAACATCAGCAGGAGAGGACTCTTTAAAGTAGAGACACTACATACTGATATACACCTGAACATCAGCAGGAGAGGACTCTTTAAAGTAGAGACACTACATACTGATATACACCTGAACATCAGCTGGAGAGGACTCTTTAAAGTAGAGACACTACACACTGATATACACCTGAACCATCAGCAGGAGAGGACTCTTTAAAGTAGAGACACTACATACTGATATACACCTGAACATCAGCAGGAGAGGACTCTTTAAAGTAGAGACACTACATACTGATATACACCTGAACATCAGCAGGAGAGGACTCTTTAAAATAGAGACACTACATACTGATATACACCTGAACATATGACATAATCACTCAAAATCAGTGCTGGGTCAAAGAACTACACTGGCTGCATAGGACACACCTCTTTTTATTGTATTTTAATACTCCAAATATGTTTATATTAATAATTGTATGTGAAAATTAGCTTATTTCTTCAATAACTAATGACTCAAAATCACTTTATGAATTGAATACAAGTCTGTACACAATAGAAACAGCTCTTTATATCGGATAATATTACATCCTCTATTTAATATTAATATTTCTATAAAAAATTTCAGGTTTTTTTCTAGAGCTTCCCTGTCATGTGACCCAGTGATTAATGATCAGAAAGTAATACAAACAAGCTACACAGGACACATGTTTTACTAATCGTCATCATTGAGCACATTTCAAGTATTACTTGCACAAAGGACAATTCCAATATCCTGTCTCTGCCTTTTTAAAGTCTCTGCTGTCCATTGCAGGCACTGGCACATTATAGAAGACATCCACCCTTGACTAGAATGCCTCCCAAAACCTTTGAGTATTGATATAGACCGGTCCTATTATTGGAATTTTGAGATATGTTTTGTCAATTAAACTTTCTGTGTTCAAGTGAATACTACATTAGTGTTAAATAACTGTTAATTTAAGTTCAGCAATGTTGTGTCATAATCCAATTGTTGTCAGTTGTGAAAAATACAATAAACAACAACATGATATCGGCAATATACTGTATATCGTCCATTGGCCAACCTGCCTGCTAAATATGATGGGGATCAGCATCGGCCTTTAAAAAACCTTTATCGGTCAACAACTACTTTTGACAGCTTTTTTAATCCGCCCTTGCATTAAACTGTCTTTCACATTAAAACTCTGCTTGTTAACTGGATGAAAACAGAATCTCTTCAGCTCACCTTCACAACAACGACACCACAGCTACATCCATCCGTTTGAAGTGGGTGGCCCATAACGCCTCCCTTCCACTTAACATCCACCCAGTCTGTTATGCTGTGGCGTGTCCTCCTCATCCTGAAGTGCTCCCTGAGAAAGGATCATGTTAACACACTTTACATTTCTAATGATGTGGCTCCTAAAGATAATGTAACAGAAATTCATACTGTTTGTATTCACCATATGACCATTTATTTATATAAGGGGCCAGCTATAGATATCACTGTCTGAACACAGACTGTATCAGACTGTTTAAAATGCGTTCAATGCTGTGTGTGAGTATCAATGGAACTAAATGTGACACATTTTTTACATTTAAATATAGTTTTTACTTGAATTTTCAAATATCTATTGAATTTTGATTTACTGTATTCTTTTGGCAGCATGTTCGGAGTCATCAAGCTCTTTGATGCTTTGAGCTGGATCCACCAGGAATACGGTGCTGGTTTTGGCATGAATGTACTGTGAGAGAACAAAACAAGTAAAAGCACTTTTCATCAAAAAAGATGTTTGGCTTCACCATGTAAGTCTTGTGCTTTAACAGAAATAATACAATGACAAAATAATTACAAACCAGCAACTTCCAGTGGTTGTTGTTGACAAGTACAAAGGACAGGACAGCTTCATAGTTGTCAAAGTTGACCTATAATGGCATCAAATAAAGGATTAAAACAAACTTGAAGGCTAAGGTAAAAATAACAACAACATTAGTCTGACAATGATGTTCTTGTGCCATTCATTTGTTGTGCTTAAAACAAGTGTTGGTATGGGAATTCAATAGTAAGTAGATTTATCAGGTGATTTAACTAATGAGTATAGTTTCAGAGAGGATAAAGTAAAATAATCTCAGCTAATTTCCTATTTAAGACCTCAGCCAATGCTTCACTCCATGTAGGCCTACCTAATGTGTGAGTGTGAGCCCACAAATCAAATCCACACCTACTTCCCCCTACAGCATCACCATGCACAAACACAACACACACCACACATAAACATACACAGACCACACACATTACCTTCGGTAAACTGTGAGATGTTAGCTGAGTTCTGTCCCCGAACAAAATGACCCAAACTTCTCCTTTCGAAAGGATTGGAGATTAGCTCTTGAACGGAATTGGGCGGGGACCGAGGTCCGGCGACTCCACCTGCACACGAAGCCATTCTCATCCAACTCATCCAACACCTTGGTCACTCACGAGTCTAAAAAACAACTCACGTCAACGCACGTAAGCAACGTGGGCGCCAACGTGAGCGCCCTCGTGACCAAAATATTTGACGGCGCTGATTGGCTGAAATTATGTTTCGGCGGCACAGTTTACTATAGAGACTTTTGCAACGTGCTGGTTGCTGCTGTTTGGCTCGAGGGGCTCCTTGCACGGCGCCCGGTAATGATAAACTAATGCCACGGGCAAGGCCAGGCAGGAAACATGTGACTTATCAGTAACTTTAGACATCGTAACACCATTTTAAACGAGATTTTATTGTAATTATACATTTTACTGATACCAATTGTATGATATTTACCTTGTTCATTAAAAAAAAAATATATATATATATATATATAAAAAAAAAAAATAATTATATATTTGTTTGTATGTGGGAAGAGGTGGGGCGGCGCCCCTAGCGCCCCTATGGGCCGGCCGCCACTGCTCCTGCTTGTTGCCAGAGGTCTAAAGCTTTCTTTGTCTTTCCTTTTTTGAAGCGCACCATTTTTAGATCAAACAATGTGATCTGGTTTCTAAAATGTCTTCTTCTTCTTCTTCTTCTTCTTCTTCTTCTTCTTCTTCTTCTTCTTCTTCTTCTTCTTCTTCTTCTTCTTCTTCTTCTTCTTCTTCTTCTTCTTCTTCTTCTTCTTCTTCTTCTTCTTCTTCTTCTTCTTCTTCTTCTTCTTCTTCTTCTTCTTCTCTCGATTTTTGGCGTATTGCAAACAACTTTAAAGGTGCATACCGCCACCTGTACATGAGTGTGAATCACCATATCATCCATGTCTTAAGTCATGGACGTATCTATGATCCAATAACAAAAAAACATGAAATAAATAAAACAAAATAAAAAACCTATGATCTTTCCTGACCTAATGTTAAATTATTTGTCCTACCCCAGTTTCCCTCAGGAAGGTAAACAGTGCCTTTCTGGAGCTCTCTCTCCTTTTGTTCCCAAACACCAACCACACTCCATTCCCTCTCTGCCTCTAAAACGTTATCCTTTTGTTTTTCTCTTTCCGCTTTATGTCACGATGTAATAAGATATGTTCTATGTTCTTTAACTCCACAGCTCCCACACTTGTCGCTGTCACTTTTCCCCATGACATACAGAGTACCATTCAAAGCTGTGTGATTTAGTCTGAGTCTAGCTATCATGATGTCCTCCCTTCTGTTTCTTTCTTTATAAATATTAATTGTAATTGTCTTTTGAACTTTATGACACTCTTTGCCTTTCTGGTCTTTCTCCCACCTTTTCTGCCAGATCTCCATCCCTTTCTTCTTAATGACTGCTTTTCCTTCTCCAACTTGAACTGGTAATGTTATTTCCTTAGTGCACTTTTTGCTAATTTGTCAGCACACTCGTTCCCTTTCCCCCCCAGGCACCCAGCAGACCTGCAGATCTATCCCGCCTCTGTGCAGTCTTAACAGGCTATGATTAAGTTCTATGAGAATGTCTTCTCTGGCAGTTGTTGTTGTTGACTGTATGCTTTTTAATATGGACAATGAATCTGTGCATATCACCACCTTATCAGGTCTGACCTCTTCAACCCACTGCAATCCTATTATTACAGCCAGCATTTCTGCTGTACTGATAATTGATCAGACGCTCTTTTTGAGATCGATATTTTAACGTCTGGGATGTATATATACCAACTCCAACACACTCTTCTTTGTTCTTAGATGCATCTGTGTACAATTGTAGGTAATTGTAGTACTTTTCGTTCAGATACATACTTGTTTTAATTCCCACTTCATTTATTTGCCACTCTTTTTTCCTTTCTACAATACTCTATCTATTTTAGCTTCTGGGAAAAGCCATGGAGGAACACTACTAAATGGGGTTGCTTTTGCAAACGTGATGGTCTCCACTCCATATGCCCTCGTTCTTTCCTCAGCCAAACACACATCCATGGGCTTCTATGTCACATGACAGAGAAGCTGTTAAAACAAAATTGAGTGTGACATTCGGTCACATGACAGAGAAGCTATTGAAAAAATAAACAGAATTTTCCATGGAAAAATGTATTAATATTAACCCTTGTATAATGTTTCATTGTTTATCTAAAGAACAATGATATGATACATTATTTGTTCAACCTCACACTCAATGGCGTTGGCTCATTTTCTGTGAAGAACATATATCAGAACACATTTTCAATGACCACCCACTGTACACCCCCCCTACACATTTATATTACAAACAGGATGTTCGGGGCTAACACAAGTGTGGAAATTGTATGTGTGTGTGTGTGTGTCTTATCACAACTGATCAAGATGGCCAAATGATTCTCTGCTCAGAGGGCCTTGCAAATGATTTTGGAAGAGAGAGAACCATGTGATGATGTAGAGGAAGGTGTATCAGAATGTGAGGGTCACATTTCTGAGAATTCTGAGTCTGACAGTGACTTTGAGGAACAGGATTAGATTGAGCATCAGCTAGTTACCAAAAAAAAGACGAGCCACAGGACCAGCCGGTCAGCAGCAAAACAACAAGTAGCACTTTAATTCATTAATCAAGGTTCAAGGTTTTTATTTGTCATACGAACATAGCTACAGTGTAGTTATGACAATGAACATCTTAGGTCACTGGCTCCTCCATTAAAGCAATATGCTCATTTTCGCATACAAATATTAATATTAAAATGCAATAAAAAGAGGTGTGTCCTATGCAGCCAGTGTAGTTCTTTGACCCAGCATTGATTTTTAGTGATTAAGTCACATGACCTGGAAGGTATTGAAGAAATAAGCAAATGTTTCCATCAAAAATATTAATAAAACGTATTTAAAGTATTAAAATGCAATAAAAAGAGGTGTGTTCAATAAATGTATGCTCTAGAGTGAATTTGCTTCACATTCACACGATCGAGAAGCTGTTGATTTATTAAAAAGAACATTTTTCTTGTCTAATTGTAAAAGTCATTTGTTGATGGTCCCTAAGTGAAAGCCTCGTTTCGCGGAGAAGATCTCCCCGTTAAACTGACGCTGCTGGCGGGTCCGTTAAACTGACGCTGCTGGCGGGTCCGTTAAACTGACGCTGCTGGCGGGTCCGTTAAACTGACGCTGCTGGCGGGTCCGGGAAACTGACGCTGCTGGCGGGTCCGTTAAACTGACGCTGCTGGCGGGTCCGGGAAACTGACGCTGCTGGCGGGTCCGTTAAACTGACGCTGCTGGCGGGTCCGTTAAACTGACGCTGCTGGCGGGTCCGTTAAACTGACGCTGCTGGCGGGTCTGCGAATGTCCGTTGAATATCCAACCTAAAACTAAATTCACCGCGGTAGTTAGTTTACCTTATTTATTCTCTCCAAAAGAACCGATAAAAGTAATGTTAAAGGACAAGATAAGACATAGACATACTTTATTGTCATTTCAACAAGACAGAGTGTACTATTAAAACGAAATGTCGTTGTACTGGCTTACAGGAACAGGATAATATAACAACTTGCTAAAATTGTACATATAAATAAATAATAGTGACGTGGTGCTGATAAAATTAAAGATAAAGTGTGCGTTTAAAATATAAAGACTTACTATACATATAAATAAAATAGACATACTATATAACAAGTGCTCTTTACACAGCGTAATGTAATCTTTGTGTTACTGGTCTACTTGCTGTTCAGCAGTCTGATGGCTTGGGGGAAAAGCTATTGCAGAATCTGGCTGTTCTGCTCTTAATGCTGCGGAACCTCTTGCTGGAGGGCAGCAGGGAGAACAGAGCATGGTGAGGATGAGGGGGGTCTTTCAACATGTTCTGGGCTTTTGTCAGGGAGCGTTTCTGAGTCTCTGATGGGAGGGAGAGACACTCAGATGATCTTCTCTGCTGTCCTGACCACTCTCTGCAGAGACTTCCAGTCTTTGGCGTTGCAGTCTCTCGACCAGATGGAGATGTCAGCACGCTCTCTATGGTTCCTCTGTAGAACGTGGTGAGGATGGGAGGGGGGAGCTGTGCAGGAAGTGTAGGCGCTGCTGTGCCTTCTTAAATAGTGATGTCGTGTGAGTGGACCAGGTCAGACTGCTTGTGATATGCACCCCCAGGAACTTGGTGCTGTCTGTAGTCTTCACTGCTGTGCCGTTGATGTGGAGAGGTGGGTGACAGTGCTTTTTGTTCCTGAAGTCGACAATGATCTCTTTTGTTTTATCGACATTCAGGATCAGGTTGTTGGTGTTACACCAGTCTGTCAGATGTTTCACCTCCTCCCTGTAGGCCTGTTCGTTGTTGTCCCTGATGAGTCCCACCACTGTTGTATCGTCCGCATACTTTATGATGTGGTTGGTACTGAACCTGGAGCATAAGCATAAGCGCTATCGATAAAAGTAGTAGTACCGTTAAAGCCTTAACGATACCCATCCCTATGTGGATGTCAGTTTTACACACATTCTGAGGCCGCCGTGCCTATGTTTTTTGTTTTCACTGCTAATTTATGCTTATGTTCTATTAGTGCATTAAAAAAATCATTAAAATCATTAATGAAGATTCAGCTCAGACCCCACGCTTAATATGTCTCCCCCTGGCCCACCTACATTTCTCCAGGCCCACCCACACAATCATTCCTGGCTACGCCACTGGGTGGAGGTCACGGACTCCTCCTCACTGCTGAGGGACACTTGGGAAGGCCCTTCTCCAGCAGAGGTGGAGGCCTCAGCAGCAGTCTGGCCATGGCTTGGCGACGGGCATGAGGCAACTAGGGTGGGAGGCTGGATTGATGGCCTTCCCCCAATTGCCTCATGCATGGCCTCAAACCATGGCCAGGTAGAGGCCTCTCCCCGGTCTGTTCCTGTCCCAGTTGGGGGATCCTTTAACTCCTATTGACACCACAGAGAACAGACTGTTAGTTAAAGGGCAGTGGAGGCTAAATGCACAGCTAAAGACAAATTAAACTAATTCTAAATGTGTAATTGCTTACGCCTTAAATGTTAAAGTGTAAACAACTAAGCAAATTCACACTTTAATATAGGAGGCTGGGGTCGCCAGTTGAAGTCTGTATCATAATATCTACAAACACTAACCCCCCACAGCGCGCAGCCACGTGATTTGCCTTACCTTGTATTCTGTGATCAGGTTGTCCCATTTGTTTGATGCCTGTGGACCAGTCACCTGGCCCTCCAGACCCATCTCTTTAACAACCTGCCTTTAGTTACAAATGATCTTAATCCACCGGCATGCACATTTATTAAAACATTTTAACAGACAAATATAGTTGTACTACTTACTCCCAGCCTGATTTGGCAGCATTTCGTTTGCCACTGAACAGGTGCTCCATCTTAACCCTTGCGTTAATTAGGGCAAGGGTTTCAGCATCTGTGACTGAGATAAATACATCAGATTAGGCTTGCATGGAACAACGCTGGAAACTAAAGCATTTAGGACAAGTTATGGTTTAAGAATGTAAAAGCTTAAGAAAGCAGCGGTAATTTACATGATCTTCGTGTGTCTGTCATAATGACGATCGTGTTTTCCGTGAACGACCGAATATTCCCTCGCTTTAAAGGCTGCGGCCGCGAGGCATTGTGGGGCAGCATTTTCCAGTGTTTCCTAAACTAAAGGAGGTGATAGGAAGTTTGAAGCCTCCTTTCCTATCATATTCTAGAGAATCCGAACGGCTCTTATCTTGGCTGCCACTGAGGTACTTCTGGGTCATTTCACTCCGTTAGGAAGGTTCAAAAAGCTTTATTAGAATGACCATAATGACACAGTTGTAGTTCTCATATTCGACCACATGATGGCGACAAATCACTGCGTATATTTCCCAGTGTGGCGTCTTCACCAGATTTAAACGTCTATATTTATTCTGCAGGAAATGTACCTTATTGTTATGTTTTGACTTTACCTACTTTGCTGTATTCCTCTACACCACCTAATGTTAGAGATACTATGCTTATAGCCTTTTTTATTACACTGTAATTATTGGATTAATTTTGTTATAGTGTTTTTTTAGGTTATTGATCAAAAACAAACGATATATATTATATATATATATATATATATATCAATGAATTAAGTTGCCCAGCAGAATAAAAACCAGCATAATTTAACTTAAATTGCAATTTATATATCTATCCTTATTTTGATAGCAGCTCTCTTACAAAAAAGGTGCTTCACAAAACAAGAATAAAAACAATACAAGTAAATATATTAAGGATTAAATAAGAATTCAATAAAAAAAAAATGAAATTCTAGTAAATAATATAATAATAATAGCTTGGATTTATATAGCGCCTTTGAAGGGACCCAAGGTCGCATATGTAATTAAAACCCATATGTTAGTACTTTAACTAAATATTGATGCTTATATGAACTTAAGTACCATTTTAAATGCTTATAAAATCGTATTTATTGCCTGTTTTATTGCTATTTTACCTCATTAACATCTGCATATTCCCCACCACAGATAGCATGTATTTAAAGTGGAAATAACTCATAAAGATATCGGGGAGAAAGACAGAAAACCAAGCGAGACATTTTCCACAAGAGAAAACATTTATTCCTCAAAACCCCCGAGGCGTCATTTCATTCAAAATAATAATAACATAAAGAAGGCAAACATTACACCGCGGGTTTATTTAAGGCACAGGATCGATAACAGGTATTTAAAACGTCCAACGGTACAAACCTCACAACTGAACTCAAGTCCTCTTCAAACGGCTGCTCACATTATTCACGATTGGTTCGAACGCCAATCAAAACACTTCTTCAAGTATCCTTCATTTCACACTTTAGCACTTGTTCATAGCCCTAAAATGCCCCTTCCCTCACTCACTTTGTTTAAATTCAGTGTGAGAATTGAGCTCGAGCTTATCCTGCCAGGAGTTTGTAAATCTGGGCTGACATGGAGTCAGGGCCATTCTCACACACATGCAGGTGCTCATTGGTTTCAGGGATGCAAACACAGGTGGTGAAAAAAGAGAGAACTATTCGAAGCAGAAAAAAAACAGCGTAATACCATCTGACAAAGGCCTGAGCTATAATGCTTCAATTAACTGCTATTCTTTAATATACTCAGATCAATAGGAGACAGAGATGGTAAGTTAAAAATCAAGGGTTTTTATTATTATTTACAGCAGGGGTGGGGAACCTTTTTCCTTTCAATGTTTTCAACATCCTCCGAGGGCCGTACAAATGATTGAACTCAACCTCTGCTTAAAAAAACTAAAATCACAGCCCATTCATTTCACCTTTCTTTCATGCTGTGCAAAGAAGAAGCAACCAATCCAGATATCTCACCATGACTCACGCATGCACGTGCACGGTGTGGCATGACCACCAAAACAGAAAGATATGGACACAAGATGTGTGCAAATGTATTTAGACTCCTATCCATGTGAACATGATTTAAGTGGGGGGGGACCTAACCTCCTCTAGGGGGGTCCGGGGGGGGCATGCTCCCCCGGGAAGATTTGTTTTTAAATATTGAAGTTAAAAGCATCAATCTGGTGCACTTTGGGAGCAACATTAGGAGATCTATGGATACATCTCTCAACACCCAGATGAAACAGAACTGGAAGCAGATTTTCTTTTTCTTTATGGATATTTTACAAATCACTCTCCTTTCAAACTGTATTCTTGTTTATTAATAACAACTTTTTGTTACTGTCATATAGTATTTTATACCTGTTTACTTTATTCTCTTGTTTTGTATAACTATAATGATCATATAAAGATGTGCCTTTACCTCACTGGTTGTAGAAAAAGCTTCTTATATTCGTTAGCATAGCTAGCTAACCAGATGCTAATAACAACAGAGTTATTGCCTGTATGATCAGTGTGACAGATCGACACTGGGCTTTCAACTAAGACACAGCCACGCACAAACTGCAGCATGTGTACAGCTCCTTATCTGAAGTGCTGGAGCGGCGTTCTGGTGCTCTCCGTCAGCACGTGTCAGACGAGACATATACCACGTGATGACACGTTAGGCTCGTGTTGTGTTCACGGACCCTGACCTTGGCCAGGAAAAATAGGTACTCACTTGTTTAATTATTTTGCGGTCTAGATTTCTTTAATTTTTTTCTTTTTTGCGTGTGCTTATAAATTACCTCGAGGGCCGTACCAAATGGTCTCGGGGGGCCGGAGGTTCCCCACCCCTGTTCTAGAGAATCCGAACGGCTCTTATCTTGGCTGCCACTGAGGTACTTCTGGGTCATTTCACTCCGTTAGGAAGGTTCAAAAAGCTTTATTAGAATGACCATAATGACAGTTGTAGTTCTCATTTTCGACCACATGATGGCGACAAATCACTGCGTATATTTCCCAGTGTGGCGTCTTCACCAGATTTAAACGTCTATATTTATTCTGCAGGAAATGTACCTTATTGTTATGTTTTGACTTTACCTACTTTGCTGTATTCCTCTACACCACCTAATGTTAGAGATACTATGCTTATAGCCTTTTTTATTACACTATAATTATTGGATTAATTTTGTTATAGTGTTTTTTTAGGTTATTGATCAAAAACAAACGATATATATTATATATATATATATATATATATCAATTAATTAAGTTGCCCCAGCAGAATAAAAACCAGCATAATTTAACTTAAATTGCAATTTATATATCTATCCTTATTTTGATAGCAGCTCTCTTACAAAAAAGGTGCTTCACAAAAACAAGAATAAAAACAATACAAGTAAATATATTAAGGATTAAATAAGAATTACATTTAAAAAAAATGAAATTCTAGTAAATAATATAATAATAATAGCTTGGATTTATATAGCGCCTTTGAAGGGACCCAAGGTCGCATATGTAATTAAAACCCATATTTTGGTACTTTAACTAAATATTGATGCTTATATGAACTTAAGTACCATTTTAAATGCTTATAAAATCGTATTTATTGCCTGTTTTATTGTTATTTTACCTCATTAACATCTGCATATTCCCCACCACAGATAGCATGTATTTAAAGTGGAAATAAGACAGAAAACCAAGCGAGACATTTTCCACAAGAGAAAACATTTATTCCTCAAAACCCCCGAGGCGTCATTTCATTCAAAATAATAATAACATAAAGAAGGCAAACATTACACCGCGGGTTTATTTAAGGCACAGGATCGATAACAGGTATTTAAAACGTCCAACGGTACAAACCTCACAACTGAACTCAAGTCCTCTTCAAACGGCTGCTCACATTATTCACGATTGGTTCGAACGCCAATCAAAACACTTCTTCAAGTATCCTTCATTTCACACTTTAGCACTTGTTCATAGCCCTAAAATGCCCCTTCACTTACATCCTCGTCAAATATACAGTGCAATCATTGTACTCTTTGCATATGTGCATTCCTTGTGTATAATCAAGCATAAATAACAACAATACGGAGGGCCACCGTACAATTAGAGGTAAACAATCAAATAACACTGCATGACAAAAGAAATGTCGCTACGTTTGTGTTTGTTTCCGTTCCTTTGGTACGAGTTCTCAAACAGAATTGAACAAATGGGACAGACGGTAATAACCAGGTTGACATATTTCAATATAATGCCACAAAGCCCCTGCAAATCATTATATTATCATCTTCTTATTTACATAAAACACCGGAGACAAGGCAGTTAGTGAGTTCAAACGCATCGCAATCTGTACCAGGATGAGGATGAGATGGGAGATGTTGTTGCATGCTGACATGAGTCCTGGGATGACTTGAAAAATGTACATAAATAAATGTGCCCTTATAATATCAAGATGTCTCTATTACAGCAGAAACGGGAGAGTCCATTATGAGAGGAGGGGGTCGTGAATACTTCTTAAGCTTTGAGACGACACGCCGTCATCACTCAGATCATACCTGCAAGAGAAAACGTATATTTAATAATAAGTTGTTTATTAGCTGAATAATTCACTCAAGGCTGCAGATTAAGTGAATTACCATTGCGTCCATCCTTTAGAGATATCCTCCCCACTTTAAATCCACAAGTACCCTGCAATTTAGAGCAAAAGATGTGAAGTTTTAAGAGTGTTTAAGAGTCGTTTTAATTCAGGAGAAGAACATTTAATAAGAGTTACCTTTCCCAGAAAGCCTTTGTGTTTGGACAGGATGCTTCCTCCGTTCTTCACGGCTACGTCAAGAGTCCTCCTGTGGAGCTCCACCATAGAAACACTGAACTCAAACCTGCAAAGCAAGATCAATATTATCAACCTTTCAAGCTCTTTAAAGAGTCCTTGATGTTCAGGTGTATATCAGTATGTAGTGTCTCTACTTTAAAGAGTCCTTGATGTTCAGGTGTATATCAGTGTGTAGTGTCTCTACTTTAAAGAGTCCTTGATGTTCAGGTGTATATCAGTGTGTAGTGTCTCTACTTTAAAGAGTCCTTGATGTTCAGGTGTATATCAGTATGTAGTGTCTCTACTTTAAAGAGTCCTTGATGTTCAGGTGTATATCAGTACGTAGTGTCTCTACTTTAAAGAGTCCTCCCCTGCTGATGTTCAGGTGTATATCAGTGTGTAGTGTCTCTACTTTAAAGAGTCCTTGATGTTCAGGTGTATATCAGTATGTAGTGTCTCTACTTTAAAGAGTCCTTGATGTTCAGGTGTATATCAGTATGTAGTGTCTCTACTTTAAAGAGTCCTCTCCTGCTGGTGTTCAGGTGTATATCAGTATCTAGTGTCTCTACTTTAAGAGTCCTCTCCTGCTGATGTTCAGGTGTATATCAGTATGTAGTGTCTCTACTTTAAAGAGTCCTCTCCTGCTGATGTTCAGGTGTATATCAGTACGTAGTGTCTCTACTTTAAAGAGTCCTCCCCTGCTGATGTTCAGGTGTATATCAGTACGTAGTGTCTCTACTTTAAAGAGTCCTCTCCTGCTGATGTTCAGGTGTATATCAGTACGTAGTGTCTCTACTTTAAAGAGTCCTCTCCTGCTGATGTTCAGGTGTATATCAGTGTGTAGTGTCTCTACTTTAAAGAGTCCTCTCCTGCTGATGTTAGGTGTATATCAGTATGTAGTGTCTCTACTTTAAAGAGTCCTCTCCTGCTGATGTTAGGTGTATATCAGTATGTAGTGTCTCTACTTTAAAGAGTCCTCTCCTGATGATGTTCAGGTGTATATCAGTATGTAGTGTCTCTACTTTAAAGAGTCCCTCTCCTGCTGATGTTCAGGTGTATATCAGTATGTAGTGTCTCTACTTTAAAGAGTCCTTTCCTGCTGATTGTTCAGGTGTATATCAGTATGTAGTGTCTCTACTTTAAGAGTCCTCTCCTGCTGATGTTCAGGTGTATATCAGTATGTAGTGTCTCTTACTTTAAAGAGTCCTCTCCTGCAGATGTTCAGGTGTATATCAGTATGTAGTGTCTCTAATTTAAAGAGTCCTCTCCTGCTGATGGTTCAGGTGTATATCAGTATGTAGTTGTCTCTACTTTAAAGAGTCCCCTCTCCTGCTGATGTTCAGGTGTATATCAGTATGTAGTGTCTCTACTTTAAAGAGTCCTCTCCTGCTGATGTTCCAGGTGTATATCAGTATGGTAGTGCCTCTACGTTAAAGAGTACTCTCCTGCTGATGTTCAGGGTGTTTATATCAGTATGTAGTGTGTCCTCTACTTTTAAAGAGTCCCATCCTGCTGAGTGTCTCCAGAGTGTATATCAGTATGTAGTGTCTCTCTACTTTAAAGAGTCCTCTCCTGCTGATGTTCAGAGTGTATATCAGTATGTAGTGTCTCTACTTTAAAGAGTCCTCTCCTGCTGATGTTCAGGTGTATATCAGTATGTAGTGTCTCTACTTTAAAGAGTCCTCTCCTGCTGATGTTCAGGTGTATATCCAGAATGTAGTGTCTCTACTTTAAAGAGTCCTCTCCTGCTGATGTTCAGGTGTATATCAGTATGTAGTGTCTCTACTTTTAAAGAGTCCTCTCCTGCTGATGTTCAGGTGTATATCAGTATGTAGTGTCTCTACTTTAAAGAGTCCTCTCCTGCTGATGTTCAGGTGTATATCAGATGTAGTGTCTCTACTTTAAAGAGTCCTCTCCTGCTGATGTTCAGGTGTATATCAGTATGTAGTGTCTCTACTTTAAAGAGTCCTCTCCAGCTGATGTTCAGGTGTATATCAGTATGTAGTGTATCTACTTTAAAGAGTCCTCTCCTGCTGATGTTCAGGTGTATATCAGTATGTAGTGTCTCTACTTTAAAGAGTCCTCTCCTGCTGATGTTCAGGTGTATATCAGTATGTAGTGTCTCTACTTTAAAGAGTCCTCTCCTGCTGATGTTCAGGTGTATATCAGTATGTAGTGTCTCTACTTTAAAGAGTCCTCTCCTGCTGATGTTCAGGTGTATATCAGTATGTAGTGTCTCTACTTTAAAGAGTCCTCTCCTGCTGATGTTCAGGTGTATATCAGTATGTAGTGTCTCTACTTTTAAAGAGTCCTCTCCTGTTGATGTTCAGGTGTATATCAGTACGTAGTGTCTCTACTTTAAAGAGTCCTCCCCTGCTGATGTTCAGGTGTATATCAGTGTGTAGCGTCTCTACTTTAAAGAGTCCTCTCCTGCTGATGTTCAGGTGTATATCAGTATGTAGTGTCTCTACTTTAAAGAGTGCTCTCCTGCTGATGTTCAGGTGTTTATCAGTATGTAGTGCCTCTACTTTAAAGAGTCCTCTCCTGCTGATGCTCAGGTGTATATCAGTATGTAGTGTCTCTACTTTAAAGAGTCCTCTCCTGCTGATGTTCAGGTGTATATCAGTATGTAGTGTCTCTACTTTAAAGAGTCCTCTCCTGCTGATGTTCAGGTGTATATCAGTATGTAGTGTCTCTACTTTAAAGAGTCCTCTCCTGCTGATGTTCAGGTGTATATCAGCATGTAGTGTCTCTACTTTAAAGAGTCCTCTCCTGCTGATGTTCAGGTGTATATCAGTATGTAGTGTCTCTACTTTAAAGAGTCCTCTCCAGCTGATGTTCAGGTGTATATCAGTATGTAGTGTATCTACTTTAAAGAGTCCTCTCCTGCTGATGTTCAGGTGTACATCAGTATGTAGTGTCTCTACTTTAAAGAGTCCTCTCCTGCTGATGTTCAGGTGTATATCAGTATGTAGTGTCTCTACTTTAAAGAGTCCTCTCCTGCTGATGTTCAGGTGTATATCAGTATGTAGTGTCTCTACTTTAAAGAGTCCTCTCCTGCTGATGTTCAGGTGTATATCAGTATGTAGTGTCTCTACTTTAAAGAGTCCTCTCCTGCTGATGTTCAGGTGTATATCAGTATCTAGTGTCTCTACTTTAAAGAGTCCTTTCCTGCTGATGTTCAGGTGTATATCAGTATGTAGTGTCTCTACTTTAAAGAGTCCTCTCCTGCTGATGTTCAGGTGTATATCAGTATGTAGTGTCTCTACTTTAAAGAGTGCTCTCCTGCTGATGTTCAGGTGTATATCAGTGTGTAGCGTCTCTACTTTAAAGAGTGCTCTCCTGCTGATGTTCAGGTGTATATCAGTATGTAGTGTCTCTACTTTAAAGAGTCCTTTCCTGCTGATGTTCAGGTGTATATCAATATGTAGTGTCTCTACTTTAAAGAGTCCTCTCCTGCTGGTGTTCAGGTGTATATCAGTATGTAGTGTTTCTACTTTAAAGAGTCCCCTCCTGCTGATGTTCAGGTGTATATCAGTATGTAGTGTCTCTACTTTAAAGAGTCCTTCCTGCTGATGTTCAGGTGTATATCAATATGTAGTGTCTCTACTTTAAGAGTCCTCTCCTGCTGGTGTTCAGGTGTATATCAGTATGTAGTGTCTCTACTTTAAAGAGTCCTCTCCTGCTGATGTTCAGGTGTATATCAGTATGTAGTGTCTCTACTTTAAAGAGTCCTCTCCTGCTGATGTTCAGGTGTATATCAGTATGTAGTGTCTCTACTTTAAAGAGTCCTCTCCTGCTGATGTTCAGGTGTATATCAGTATGTAGTGTCTCTACTTTAGTAGAGTGTGTCTACTAAGAGTCCTTCTCCTGCTGATGTTCAGGGTATATCATTCTGTAGTGTCTCTACTTTAAAGAGTTCCTCTCCTGCTGATGGTCAGGTGTATATCAGTATGTAGTGTCTCTACTTTAAAGAGTCCTCTCCTGCTGATGTTCAGGGTATAGCAAGTATGTAGTGTCTCTACTTTAACGAGTCCTCTCTGCTGATGTTCAGGCTAGCTTATCAGTATGTAGTTTCTCTACTTTTAAAGAGTTCCCTTCCTGCTGATGTTCAGGTTGTTATATCAGTATGTCAGTTGTCTCTACTTTAAAGAGTCCTCTCCTGCTGGTGTTCAGGTGTATATCAGTATGTAGGTCTCTACTTTAAGAGTCCTCTCCTGCTGATGTTCAGGTGTATATCAGTATGTAGTGTCTCTACTTTAAAGAGTCCTCTCCTGCTGATGTTCATGTGTATATCAGTATGTAGTGTCTCTACTTTAAAGAGTCCTCTCCTGCTGATGTTCAGTGTATATCAGTATGTAGTGTCTCTACTTTAAAGAGTACTCTCCTGCTGATGTTCAGGTGTATATCAGTATGTAGTGTCTCTACTTTAAAGAGTCCTCTCCTGCTGATGTTCAGGTGTATATCAGTATGTAGTGTCTCTACTTTAAAGAGTCCTCTCCTGCTGATGTTCAGGTGTGTATCAGTATGTAGTGTCTCTACTTTAAAGAGTCCTCTCCTGCTGATGTTCAGGTGTATATCAGTATGTAGTGTCTCTACTTTAAAGAGTCCTCTCCTGCTGATGTTCAGGTGTATATCAGTATGTAGTGTCTCTACTTTAAAGAGTCCTCTCCTGCTGATGTTCAGGTGTGTATCAGTATGTAGTGTCTCTACTTTAAAGAGTCCTCTCCTGCTGATGTTCAGGTGTATATCAGTATGTAGTGTCTCTACTTTAAAGAGTACTCTCCTGCTGATGTTCAGGTCTATATCAGTATGTAGTGTCTCTACTTTAAAGAGTCCTCTCCTGCTGATGTTCAGGTGTATATCAGTATGTAGTGTCTCTACTTTAAAGAGTCCTCTCCTGCTGATGTTCAGGTGTATATCAGTATGTAGTGTCTCTACTTTAAAGAGTCCTCTCCTGCTGATGTTCAGGTGTATATCAGTATGTAGTGTCTCTACTTTAAAGAGTCCTCTCCTGCTGATGTTCAGGTGTATATCAGTATGTAGTGTCTCTACTTTAAAGAGTCCTCTCCTGCTGATGTTCAGGTGTATATCAGTATGTAGTGTCTCTACTTTAAAGAGTCCTCTCCTGCTGTTCGTGTATTCAGAGGTGTCTCTACTTTAAGTCCTCTCCCTTTTCAGGTGTATATCAGTATGTAGTGTCTCTACTTTAAAGAGTCCTCTCCTGCTGATGTTCAGGTGTATATCAGTATGTAGTGTCTCTACTTTAAAGAGTCCTCTCCTGCTGATGTTTCTACTGTAAGTATATCAGAGGGGTAAGTAGTGTCTCTACTTAAAGAGCACTCTCCTGCTGATGTTCAGGTGTATATCAGTATGTAGTGTCTCTACTTTAAAGAGTCCTCTCCTGCTGATGTTCAGGTGTATATCAGTATGTAGTGTCTCTACTTTAAAGAGTCCTCTCCTGCTGATGTTCAGGTGTGTATCAGTATGTAGTGTCTCTACTTTAAAGAGTCCTCTCTGCTGCTGTTCAGGTGTATATCAGTATGTAGTGTCTCTACTTTAAAGAGTCCTCTCCTGCTGATGTTCAGGTGTATATCAGTATGTAGTGTCTCTACTTTAAAGAGTCCTCTCCTGCTGATTTCAGGTGTGTATCAGTATGTAGTGTCTCTACTTTAAAGAGTCCTCTCCTGCTGATGTTCAGGTGTATATCAGTATGTAGTGTCTCTACTTTTAAAGAGTCCTCTCCTGCTGATGTTCAGGTGTATATCAGTATGTAGTGTCTCTACTTTAAAGAGTCCTCTCCTGCTGATGTTCAGGTGTATATCAGTATGTAGTGTCTCTACTTTAAAGAGTCCTCTCCTGCTGATGTTCAGGTGTATATCAGTATGTAGTGTCTCTACTTTAAAGAGTCCTCTCCTGCTGATGTTCAGGTGTATATCAGTATGTAGTGTCTCTACTTTAAAGAGTCCTCTCCTGCTGATGTTCAGGTGTATATCAGTATTTAGTGTCTCCACTTTAAAGAGTCCTCACCCTCCAGTTTTCCAGCACTTTGTGAAGCTGCGTCAGTTTTCTCTGATCCAGATCCAGAACTTTCTCTCGAGTTGAAGAGTGGGTGAAAAGATATTCCAGATAATCGAGCGCCAGATCCGGTTTACTCTCGATCTTTTCCATGATCTGAACCTTCTTCCTCTTCACGTTCCCCTTTTCCTGAAGTGAAACAAAAAGGACTTTAAAAAAAAAAAAAAGGGACCAATGGAAACGATCCGTGTATCCATCATTTCCTGGTCTTCTCTAAAGAAGAGGGACCAATGGAAACGTTGTCATGTTGCCGTTGTTCAGCATGGAAACATTCATTAGCTAACAATGACATTATTGTTCTATTCATATAAAGGGAGGTCAGGTACTCTTTAAAGCAGCTGCTAGTTATGGGTACTTTTTACTGAAGGACTTTTCAAAGTTCTTTACTTTCACTTGAGGAAAGAAGTTTAGTCAGTACTTCTACTTTTAGAGTATTTTTAAACACGAGTATCTGTACTAGGGATGCACGATATTGGTTTTTTGAAACCGTTACCGATAACTTCCTGCTTCTCAAGACCGATACCGATAATAATATAATATATATATATATATTAGGGCTGTCAAGTTAACGCAAAAAAAAAATTAACGCCACTAATTATTTGTTGTCCTCGGCCGCCCCGTAGTTTCAGAGCATCGAGTTTAAAATACCGTCTACAAGCTGATGCTGGCAGCCCCGCTCCTGCCGCCCGCTTGTGGCAGACCACACTTCCACGCTCACCGGCAGGCACCGACTGGCTGTTGGGAGGACCGGGAGGGTGTGTGTGTGTGTGGCCCGAGAGAGCGAGAGAGAGACCTTACGTGCATTGTTGTTGTTAGCATCTGGTGCTAGCTAGCTGCGCTAACGGATATAAGGAGCTGTTTAAATGAAAACAGAGGAGCGACATTTCGCCACAACTGCGCCGAGCACTTGACATATGCTCCAATGATCCATATCACACACACACACACACACACACACACACACCACACACACACACCACACACACACACACACACACACACACACACACACACACACACACACACACACACACACACACACACACACACACACACAGTTAGGCCCAAAGATAAAGCACTGAGGACACACACACACCGTTAGGCCCAAAGACAAAGCACTGAGGACACACACACCGTTAGGCCCAAAGACAAAGCACTGAGGACACACACACACCGTTAGGCCCAAAGACAAAGCACTGAGGACACACACACACCGTTAGGCCCAAAGACAAAGCACTGAGGACACACACACACCGTGAGGCCAAAGACAAAGCACTGAGGACACACACCACACCGTTAGGCCCAAAGACAAGCACTGAGGACACACACACACCGTTAGGCCCAAAGACAAAGCACTGAGGACACACACACACCGTTAGGCCCAAAGACAAAGCACCGAGGACACACACACACACCGTTAGGCCCAAAGACAAAGCACTGAGGACACACACACACCGTTAGGCCCAAAGACAAAGCACTGAGGACACACACACACCGTTAGGCCCAAAGACAAAGCACTGAGGGACACACACACAACGTTAGGCCCAAAGACAAAGCACTGAGGACACACACACACCGTTAGGCCCAAAGTACAAAGCACTGAGGACACACACACACGCTTAGGCCCAAAGACAAAGCACTGAGGAACACCACACAACGTTAAGCCCAAGACAAATTCACTGAGGACCACACACACCGTTAGGCCCAAAGACAAAGCACTGAGGACACACACACACCGTTAGGCCCAAAGACAAAGCACTGAGGACACACACACAACGTTAGGCCCAAAGACAAACACTGAGGACACACACACACCGTTAGGCCCAAAGACAAAGCACTGAGGACACACACACACCGTTAGGCCCAAAGACAAAGCACTGAGGACACAGGAACAGAAAGGGAACTCACGTCGTCGTTCCTGAGGAAAGCCGGGCGCTGGAAGCACTTCAGCAGCAGATCCATCATCTGCTTGTTGTCTTCTGACGTGTAGTCCAGACCCAGGAGAACCTCCCGGAGACTCCACACTCTCTGGATCTCTGTGCCCTGAACACACAAGCATTTCAGATTCAAACTAGAACGCTCCCCCTTTCCCACAGCTTCAGCCTGGATCTAAACGAGTGTAGTGTCTTCCACAAAGCCTTTTAATAATGTCTAATGTAGTCGATAAGCTCTACGACCGACTGTGTGATCTTACAGTGACGTGTTCCCATGCTTTAATGTTCAAAAAGGTGCCGTAATACTGACCGGTTTCTTCAGGTCGAAGCTCTTCGTCAGAGCGATGATCATAGCGCTGCGACCGAACGTTTCCTTCTCCTTCAGATCTTTCTTCCACCAGGCGTCACACAGTCTGAGGATCTGGAGCTGCAGCGGAGCCTCGGAGACCGGCTGCAGCTCCAACAGATCTGAGAGAAACACACAGTAATATGAACTGCTGTGAACATCCTGGATGTCCTCCTCCAACATGAGAGTCACATGATGACAGAGGTATCAACTGTAGCTGTGAACATGACAGGATGTGTGATTACCTAGAAGAGCATCAGGACTGTTTGAGGCATATGATAGCTATGTGATTAACATGATGATTCAGCCTCTATGGAGAGAGACATCAAGCATGCTCATTTCTGACGTGGAGCTAATCTGAAGTAAACATTGAATACTGCTTTCTATTCCTCCATCTTGTGACTGTAACTCCCTCTCTTGATATCAGCATGTGAAGGACACTGTTCAGGAACTAGTCTCTGTATGTGATGACTCCTTCCATTCTGGAGAGGATCACAGACACATGGATCCTGAGATGAAGCTCAAGCCGGGGACCAGGGAGAGTTAACATTTAAGTTTTCAGAAAAAGTGAGATTTTTAGGAAAAAGTGAGAATTTTGCAAAAAAAAATGCAACATTTTGTAAAAAAGTCAAAACATTTGTAAAATAGTCAGAATTTAGAAATTAGTCAGATTTTTTAGGAAAAAGTCAGAATCTTTAGAATTTTGATATTTTGAGGAAAAAGTGAGAATTTTGAGGAAAACTGAATTTTAAGATTTTGAGATTTTTTTTTGTTGAAAAAAGTCAGGATTTCCAGAAAAAAAGCCAACAAATGCTCTGTATGTGATGACTGTAAAGGAAACTTCTGTGTAGCATGCAGTGGAGTCACCGACTCAGGAAGGAGACACGGGAAGAGTCGGAGCTTTGATGTCAAACCACTGTGATTTATTTGGAGTTGGTACCAGAGTATTCACATCACAAGTCCAAGAGTCAGAGGTTCTGACTCCACGGTAGAGTTGCCACGTCAATTCTGGAGAGCCTCTCTCTTGCCAGCCCATCTAACTGGTTTCGCAGAGAGTAAACAACATATTTGAGGAGATAGCCTAAACAGTGTGGGAACACTGAGCTACTTGCGTCGGACACTTATGACCTCGAAGATTTCACCTTGGAGTCCACAAATACAGAGAAGGAAGTGTCCCAGTGTACCCACAACACAGACCATCTGTGACCCAGTATGGACCGGTCACAGAATGGGAACAATAACATTATTGGCTAAGCAGCCTGTGTCCTTAAAGAAGGTAAACAGACATCAAGGTTTGTCCTGTATGTTACAAATTGGCGTCTATGATAATTATTTCCATAACAATGACTACTTCCATTGTTGAGAGGATAGTGAGTACATGGACCCTGAGGTTGAAGCTCAAGACTTCGAACATAAACCACAAAACAACAATCCACCTGAAGACAGGAGAGGATTAGAGAGGACTCTTACCATGCAGCCTGTGGATGATTTCCAGAAGAGAACTGTAGGTTTCTCCGTCCTGCAGGACCTTTAGGGACTCAGCAGCCACCAGAGTCACACCGTCCACTACAGACCTCACGTGACTCTGCAAGAACAGGGGAGAAAACTGGATGTTAACCAAGTTTCTAGGAACCAAAACGCTGCGAGAACAGAACTACAGTGAACTCACAGGGTCTGCAGCTGCCTCCACCTCCATGGCCTCCTCTCTCCTTTCCTCACTCCCTTCCTCTCTCCTTTCCTCCTGCAGGACGTCCTGGAGGAGAGAGGACAGTTTCCCCCACAGCGTCTGCCTCTGGTCTCTGTTCATCTCCTGCAGAACTTCCTCCACATCGAAGGGCTCCGTCTTGTTCCTCTGCTCAGAAAAACAGAATCAATAGAATTACTTTAATTATCTCCGAGGGAAAGTGGCTTTTATGACAGTTATTCAATTGTATTAAATATAATAGCGACACTCAGATGAACGAGACACTAAACACTAGATCTGTGACTAGAATAGGGCTTTTTATTCCTAGTAGTAGATAGCTTAAAACAATACATTTGATCCTCTTTTGAAAAACTATGTATTGAGTAAAATACACATTGAAATAGCTGCTAGATTGTATGTGCTTTATTTACTTATTTGGGTTCTTTTGATCACTTAACTAACTAAAGCTAACTTCGGGCTCTATATATGTGATGTTAACGTATAATATACATTAGACAATGAAAAAACAACAATATTTACAGAAACTCTTCACAACTTGCATTTAGTTTCCAGTTTAGATGCAGTGATGCAGTCCTGCAGGTTATACATTAGCCAAACAGTAAAAACCTTTTACTGAGTATTTCTGTCATTTGAGGCTTTAGTTAATTGTGCTATTTTCTAAATAGTTAGCATGATATGTGGATTTTACCATATCAGCATGTCATGTCTATTTATAGTAACTGTGAGTGTTAAAATAAATGCAGTGGATTAAAAAGTACGACATTCACATCTGAAATGTAGTGGAGTAGAAGTACTAAGTAGCATTAAATGTAATTAATCAAGTACAGTTCAGTACTTGAGTAAATGAACTTACTATTATACAAGTATGACATTAACATCCGGGACCTTTCTGATGTAGTTGATATGGAGGTTATATGAAGTTACTCACATGAAGCTGAATAAAGCGGAGGAAATCATCCACATTCTCCGTACAGCAGGACTCTAGAAAAGCCTCTCGCTTCGACATGTTTGTGGTTCTCCAAAAGACGTGAAACAACACCAATATTCCTGCAATAAACACACAGAAGAGCAGCTAAATGCTAACGAAACTAGCATCACAACACCAGCGACAGAATCAAAACAAACGGCTCAGTTAGAATTCAGCGTTAAAATACTTATTTTCACACGGCTTTATAAAACTCTAATTGTTGCTACTTATGTTAAAGTGTATTGCGATTATTAAAAAGTATGACATACGATCCAAAAGCGTCTTCAATTACCTTTGTATTAATAATGCTGTGATCCGACAGCCGCTGAACGACAGCCTGCCATAAGAGCCCGCGCAAATTCGGATAAAACGCGTCATGACTTTTACGTAAACGTTGACGCTGTGACGCTGACGTAAATTGTAGTTCTACGTCTTCTTCTGTAGTTCTTGTTCTTTTGATGGTTTTTAGAGGCGTTGCATGGCCGCCTCCTCCTGGATAAATAATTAACTACCTTTTCCAACAAAAACTATTATAACTAAGGGTAAATACTAATGAAGGGAAATTCATTAAACATAATTAAGCTAAACTATTTTACAACTATTATCCTGAACGAGTATACTAGGCTGCAGTCGAATAGTCCAAAAAACAGCCCCTAGTCAATTCCTTGACCTCTGTGTGAAACGTCACGGGGTTTAGGAATAGTGGGTAGGAGAATTGTATTTATGATGCACCAGAAACGGACTACTATAAGCGCATCATTAATAAGCGCTGTTATTGTGTTGTTTTATGCTTTATGGACGTGTGCAACAGCGAAACATATGTTGTTCATTAAGGTTGAAATTAAAACAAATAAGTAAAGTGAAAGAAAATCACATTGATAATTGTTGCTCACACTCAGGGACGATCCTAGTCGGTGGGGGCTCTATAGGCAAACATTCACTGGGGGCCCCTCGAACCAGCTTTTCATCACCACGCACAGCCGACAGCACCCACGGTTTAGGTGTGGAGGACGCTGATGTGACACATCAGCGTCCTCCACACCTAAATGATTGTTTCCTTTTATAGTAAGTATATGAATGGCTTTCTTACATCATTCATTGTTTTTAATATGCAATCATTCCCCATAAATACATGTTAGTAATGCACGTTATTGTGTCTCTTGCGGTGCAGGTTGCTGGATTGTTGCTACTCCTGCTGCAGCAGCATGTTCCAGTTTGAAGCAACTCCTTAAGCTCCATCTTTTTCATTTATGTTCACCCCCTGTTGTGTTGTATTTTGCTCATGTTTATTTGTACACATGACACCTATTGCACGCCTGTCCGTCCTGGGAGAGAGACCCCTGCTCTGCTGCTCTCCCTGAGGTTTCTTCCCCCCGTTAAAAGTTTTATTTTTTTGGAGAGTTGTTCCTCATTGGCTGCAAGGGTCTAAGGACAGAGGGTGTCGTACACTGTACACATTATAAAGCCCCCTGAGGCAAGGTTTCGGTTCTTAAATAAACATTTGGCTGATATATTTCACTGGAGTGGGTCTGTCATTTTGCATTCAGCGTTTGTCATTACACAACACTCATTATTTTGCATTTACAGCAGACATATTGTAAGAATTGAGAAGCCTCTAATGTGTCCTGTTTTTATGACAGAGCAAGGATGCACATGGAGGCACTGACCGACTCATTATTCCAATTAACATGTGACAGGAATTCATTCTGTAATAGCAAACGTCTCATTACCAACAAGCCAATGTGGAAGTTATTAGCTCACAATGCTAACATGCTAAAGCTACTGTCCCACAACTCTATGCCCCCCCCCCTCAGAGCTACAGGTCTCAGGTTGAGGGACCCTCCTTTCCCAACTTCAGCAAGGAAGACCCCATGACTATGGTTGGAGTCGGGAGGCCTGTTAATTTATTCCGGCAATAACTCAGACCTACTAATTGACCTACCAGAAGCTATTGATTCTAAGTTTCCTGCTCGACTCAGATCCACCAACGTCAGCAAGGTCTCACCTCTATTAACTCCTGAAGAACCAGGTTCAATTAACTGCTGTTTCAGTTCAGAAGACTCTCTAAATCTGTGTAAGCGATCCCGAAGGATTTTGGTATCAGTAATGGGGTGTGGTCCTGCCTAAGTGTGTAGGGTGCAATCTTACCTTTAAGCAGGAGAGGACAGCGCAGATTTATTTAAAGTTCTCCCAATCCAAAAAGGTGGGATGATTTTATTTGAAGAAAATGGTCCACACTTAAACAGGTTTTTACCTTCTCTCGTTACAATATGACAATCATACAAAACATATCATGCTGTGGTACTTTTCTAATATAAAACCTCAATTCAGTTTCACATTTCTTACACTAAATTCTAACTTCAGCTGCCCTCTTCAGTTGAAACATTAAAAGTGTAATCTGACAGAATCCAGAGGACCTCCTCATGAATGGTCGGTGCTAAAAACACATTCAAACTTTCATTCAACAATTCACCAATCAATCTGAGAGATCTTACCAAGTTGAGAGAACCTTCCAAGGAGAAGCCCCACTCTGGAGCTTTCTCCTTTAAGAAGGGCCTAAAAACCTTTCTTTTAAAAAAAATCCTTTTATTAAACTTGTGTTTCTTTAAAAAATAAAAGTATATGATGCCCCTTGTAGCACTTTGAGATGACTTTTAGCAATGAAAGGTGCTTTACCAATCAAATGCATTATTCTTATTATGATCATTAGGTTGGACACTCCCTATGCAGGAGCCATCGGATGCCCCCCCAGAGTCTCTTCACCCCAACTGGACCCCCCGATGCCGAACTCAGTCGTCAGGTGGACAAACTCTGGCATATAGGTGTCCTCTTTCAGGAAGAGCAAGGCATCACCAGATCCAAGAGCCCCTCCAGTCCAGTGGACCCCCTTCCAGTAGCTCATTGGCCGGGTCCTGCGTCCCACTCTCAGTATGCAGATATCCGGATGACCTCATCGTTCAGAGTGAGATGTTGGGGCAGGTAAAGGCGGGGCTCCAAGCTGACCTGAAGGAGAGTGAGTTGGGGTATCTGGGGTCGATGGAGTCTCCTCTTTGGTGCCGGGGTGGGTGGGAGGTGGTGGGAGGCAGCAGCAGGTGTATGAGCAACACATCTTTAAGAAAAGCTTTAAGTACAATGGATTGTTGTTGTTCATTTCATATTGAGGAGAGCTAACAGGAAGTCTCTCATCAGCTGCAGTCTTCTTCTGTATTTTCCAAAATGCCTCCACGCTCCTCTGGACGTCTCGAACTCGCCCCGTGATGAATAAACTGAGAACAAATCAAACCTGAGCTGCAGACTTGTCTGGAACACCAGAAACACACTGAGCAATAACTACATTTTAATTAAGTGGTGAAACCTCAGTAAATAAGCTTCACTTGGTACGACCTCTCACCTTTCTGTGTGTCTTCACTTCCTGTCACCTGAGAGGAGAAGGAGAGAGAGAGAGAGAGAGGATGATGATGATGAAACAAAGAGAAACAGCCAGAATGATGAAGAGTGTTGTTTTCCTCTGAGCTCATGCTCCATGAAAGAGTTTAGTATCTGGATGAATGGAGGACATGGTTTCAGTACTCACAGGTCTTCTGGATCGTGGCTCTGATCGGCTCTCCACATCTGATCCTGTAGGGACGAACACAACCCAACAGCTTGAGATCCAGTTTAAATAAGTGTTGGTTCTTTGAGTCAGCTTCAGAGTCCTGATCTCATGCTCTACATCCCATCATATCCTCTCTGCAAACACTACGACTGCCTGCCACAGCTCTCAGCTGACAGGAAGTAACCAGTCATTGGTGGAGAACAGGGGGGTCCAAACTCTTTCCCCGAGGGCCTCATACAGAAAGAGATATGAAGGTCTGGGCCGCTCTCTAGAGGTATGTTGCCTCATGAGTTCAGTTATAGTCAGAAACCTCAGATGAAGGTAAAGGATGCTTGTTACTTGAAGATGCTTTCAGAAACAAACGGCTCTCAGCTCTCCAGAGGGTTCACTTTATTCTGTCAGCAGCTCATTCCTTAAAGCAGGAGCTTCACATTGATTATAATCACAGGAAACATGAAGGCTCTATTTCACGCTTGTTATAAAAATAAGTTATTGGGCTTTTTTCTTATCAAGTTAGATTTGTTAGAACATGTTCTCAGCTTTAATTGAGTGAATTTATTTTAAAGGTGGGATTATTAACACATGAATACTACTGTGTAATATACAACCCAGTCTCACGGCATTTCGTGTTCACCAACACGATTTGTAATCTATGATTCGTGTTCACCAACACGATTTTGCCCCTTTTTTTCGTGTTGCCACAGCACGATTTTAAAAGCCAATGTATTTTCTACTGCCTGCAGCACGTCTTTTTCTCCGGTCGGCTCGTGGGAGACCGGAAGCTGTGTGGTTCATAAAAACATGTTCTTACTCAATATCAAGCCACAGTTATTGCTTTTATTTGAAATCGTATAATTTTGGACTTTTGTTCCCGTCTGTGAGGAAAATAAATGGCTCAGAGCCTCAGGATACTGAAATCTGTATTTTTTAAATCTTTGTTTCCTTCTAATTTGTTATTATTTTCAAATAACACACTGTTATTTACTCACCAATAACACACAATTATCTTTGCTTTTATTTATTGGTTTAATTCCATAATCTCGGGCTTTTTTGGCGTCCGCCAGGAACTGAATTTCAAAATAAAAATAACCGGAAACAGACCATAGGCATTTCGAGCGATTACCCAAGATCCTCAGCTACGCTGATTGGATGTTTTAGCCGCAATGGCATGCTGGGATTTGGTGTTTATATGATATGAAATCCGGAAAACATTTAAAAGAATAAAAGAATACTTAATTCCGAGCGCTCTTGCTTTTCTCTTTGAAAGTCATCACATAACGGCATTGTAATACACGGTTCGGCTGCATTACATATTACAGATCTGCCGTAGTTCTTTATTGATAGACCCCTGATCAGAAGACCTTTGGAAAAACTGAGAAAATGCCGCCGAAACTGAATACTTGACGTGGATCATAAATATATTCAACAATTAAACAACATCTTCAATTTCTCTTCACACAATATACGTCTCCTTGCAGTATCACAACACTAATTCGGCTGACTTTTATATTTGATCTAATTCACAGATAGGTTATATTTACACCATAACGGTGCACAGCTGATATAAAAAGGACTGTAGTTTTTTAAAGATATTACTGATTTCTTTGAATGTAAGAATGTAAATACTGAGTCTGAAATAGTATAGCAATATGCTGTACAATTATGTGAAAGCATGCATAAAACTACACATCTTCAGTGTGTACATTTATAATACAAAGTTATTATGGCTGTGTGTACCTTGTGTTTACCTCCTAGTGGTTAAAGCACGTTATTGAATTATTTTTTATATTTGATTAAAAAATATTAAGAGTACATACATAGGGGGAAAGTATAAATATAGAATGTAAAAAATCAAGAAGATACTATAAAGTGATCTCTACAATAAAACAGTTTAGTGCAGAATGTACAAAGATATTAATAGGAGGAGGTGCAAAACAGAAAAACGAATGAACCTTTATTTAAACATTAAATAACAGATTAAGGTCTTCTTTTAAATAAGAAAAAGCTTTGGGGGTAATCTATCTACAGATAAATATTAAGCCTGACAAAGTACTTAACGTCTAATATATTGCTTTCCTGCAATGTTAACTATGTTGAAGCACTTATTTTAACTGATATTATACATATGAATTATACTCGTATGTAGATAGAATAAGAAATGTGCAGAATATGACAGTTTGATGGTGGAGGTACACACATAGTGATAGATGTCTTGTTGAGGAACCTGTGACCCAAGTGTTTCATTCATTGCATAACTACACCGTAGTTGTGTATATGATATGTCAATAACCCTTTGAAAATCTTGAAAGGGATGTGCAAAATAGCCATAATATACAGTCGTTAATTATTAGTAGAGAATAACGAGTAATGAATATACTTTATTACTCGTTTCCATTCATGTCAATTGCAGATACATGTTTAGTCTTCTCAAGCACCAACTATCAAATATCTCTCCTGATTGTTGGCACTTGACAATCACCTTCCCTGAATTTTACTCAGGTGTAACTAAAGTCTGATTTAAGGGTTGTTTATATTTCACATCATTAATCAGAATCTGCAAAGTAACTCAAATAAATGCAGTGGAGTAAAAATACCAGGTTAACCTCTGAATTGTAGTGGAGTAGAATTACAAAGTAACAATGAGCTGTCATGTGGGTATTAATGCTGCGCATTATGGACACAAGCGATTTTCACCCATTTATTAATGATATGTTTTACATTTGATAACACCAATGTGTTTAATACTGGCAGCTTCTAATTGTGGGAAAACGAAAACGTTCAGTAGAGACGTCCCATAGAACATTTTGCAAAACACAATAGTGTAGTGTATAGTTCTGGGGGGGCGTTCGATTCCAGTTTTGGATAGTCTGGCGTGGTTTCGTTCCATTTCACACAGCTGTTTGACGCTCTGCGTAACCTTACGGGACTGTAGTCCTAAACGATAGCTGGGGATTATGGGTAGTGTAGTGTCTTCGGCCATCCTAAACTCAGAAATGTTGACAATCGCAATGA